CCCCTCCAAAAATCATCCAAAACTTGTCCTTTTCCCCTCCAAAAATCATCCAAAACTTGTCCTTTTCCCCTCCAAATTCTATCCAAAACTTGTCCGTTTTTTATCCAAAATTTGCCCCTCTCTCCCTCCAAAAAGTGTCCGTTTTGGGTCCGTTTTTTTCAAAGCAACTTGTCCACAACTTGTCCTTTTTTGGCAAGATTTGCGGACAAGTTGCTTTTGGATAAAAATTGGACACAAAACGGACATTTTTGTGCTCACTGGGCACTCGTCGGTTGACGTTCCATATGTTTACACTCGTATCTGATGAATGTTGAAAGAAGAACAAATAACATGAAATAAGGCAGCATACGCATTTATAAACCAGAACAGTCATTACATTGTCAGAACTGCATCACATCTTTCAATCTTTTATGAATCAGTATCTTTATACTGTATAGCATTTGCTCAAATTTTAGGCAATTTTCCATGCATTCTTTTAGAAAATAATCAAGGTGCGCTGTCACATATTTAATCAGTTTCTAAAGGATATTCACATGAAAAGCAAAATTTTGACTTCGAATCTAAACCATCACAATCGTTCGAATCGGAATTTAATTTTTAAAAATCAATTTTTCGGTATTGGAATTGCATCCCATGTAAACAGACAGGCTTGTTTCAGATTTTCAGACCTGCCATGTTTTAAACCCGGTTTCGTTTTTCTTGTCATGAAAGTATACACCCGTAGAGAGAATCATATCCATCACGTCTAAATCATCACATATACAGTAATCGGTAACATGCACTATTCGTTTAAAAGAGGACACATTTTTGTTTTCCACAGGATTTGAACAAAAAGCAAAGGAAAACTCCGCAGTCAATGTTCACGCCTTCCACAGTAAAGATAATAAGGTGCGCTTTCAAGGCAGAATCTACGTAGTTGAGAATGTTCAAGATTATTAACAAAGCAAAGCATTGAAACTGTTTTCAAATCAAATTAATTCTTTAAAAATTAGAAATCTCAAAAAGTAATTTTTATGAAGGGACGAGCGCAACAACTTGATTAGGAGGAAGGTGTAGAGTTCACGTACACAGCCTTCAATTCTCGTCATGGATAACATGTAGATAACACGTCACTAACCTGTTGCGAAGCACGTGGATGCCCGTTTTGGGCTCAATCCTGGGATCAGTGGATCTCCGGATCGCGAACACGAATTTCCGCGTCCAATCAGAGACCAAAGAGTCAAATGCGAGAAACGCGGAGACGAAAAGGACGCAGAAAGCAGCGACTCTGACGCTCGACTCGCTTTTTAAGGGCACCAGGAGCATGACGCTCCATCAGCGACTGCTGGGAATAAATCAAAAGCTTTTCTCAGATTGCTCTTTTCTCATAGTTGACGGGGGGAAAAGCGAAGAAATCTTTCTTTCCTCCCCGCGGAATATATTTTGCTCTCATCGTTTCGCTCAGTTCGCGGCCTTGTGGGAGTCGTGATTTAGTTTCTCTCTCTCTCTACTGGGCCGGAGGGGCAAAAAAATCTCAAGTGAACAGAGGGGGGAAACCTGTGACATGCTCTCATTTCCTGGCCGACGAGAACTTGAAAGAAAATGCTACGGGTGAGAAGAATGAAGAGAGGGAGGGGGAATAAATGAGTAAACAGCGTGGGGAAGAGCAGCTGATTTTCCCACAACAGGATGTGGATGATGAACTTGAACCGCTCCTGAGCAGATCTGTTTTCTGACTCATTCAACGTGGAACTTGAAAAAATATGGTCCTGCAGAGTCGAAAAAAGGAGCAATCTCATCTATCCAAAAAGCACTTCCGTTGCACGATGACCAATTTTTGCGATGCCCTGGCCCTTTAAAAATTTGTCTTAGCCATTTGCGAGATTTTAAAACTTGTTTCTCGCGTAGCACGTGGAACTTCATTTGGGACACGATCGTTCATGTAAAATTGAGAAATTCAGCAATTCCAATCTCGATGAAAATTCGAACACTGCTTCGTATGTTCACGAATTATATCATATCAAATTAAAGATATGTTTCCTTCATGCGCAATCTAACAGCTTCGAAAGCTGAGATTTAGAGTTTCAGCTGAACAGATCTATGAATGATATTCACCGGAACGATCCACATGCACTGATCAAGGAATGCATTCACATTCTCAATCTTCAAAGCTGATTGAGTCCATGCACAGATGGATTTCAGGCGTACAATTTTGAACTGATGGGAACAAATTTCACTTTTTTTCATAAGCTCTGAGACTCAGAAGTCGTTGAAGGAAAACGATGGAAGACAGAAGGACGTTTTGTAGAGCACGAGTCGGCAAAGTCACGGTTGGTTCCACTTTTATTGTTTTCTTCTCTGTACCGCGCTTACGGCATTCTCTCGAAAATCGTGCTCATCCAAGAGACATTGTACTGTCATTTCTTTTCCTTGATGCGACAGATGTCGCCAGCTGAATCATTAACCGGATTCAAAACTGAAGCAGGGCAAAATATAAGACGCAGTGCTGATAATTACAGTAACTGGAAGTGAGACTTCCGAGAAGCAACTGCATGTGGGACAGGATATACAGTACATATACAGTCCAACCTGTCTAAGTCTCCAAGTCAAATTTCAAGGGACCTGCCAAAAAATGTGACTTGGGAGGTTTTGACTTAGTGAGGTTTTGAATCTTATGATTATGGTTGGAACTGCAATGTAAAGCCCTTTTTCATTTTCTTCTAGAAAACTTAGAAAATGTAAATGGTGATATTCTGGGGCTCAATAAATGGCTTCTTGAATGAGTTCAAAGGTGGCTGAACTTGGAGGCAGGGGTTCAATTGCCCACTTAAGTCCTTGACTTCCTTTAAAACACATACATTAATGTTTTCATCACTTTTCTTCTTTCTTTCTTTTCAAAGAAAGTGATGGCCAACAGGCCTCAGAAAATTTGACTTATAGAGGTTTGAGGGGAAAAGCTTTGACCTAGGTAGGTTTTTAATCTATTGTTTCTAAGAAGATTCAGATGGGGACCTGCAAAAAATGTTACTCAGTGGGATATTTGTCTAAGGGAGGTTTCAGTTATTGCGGTTCACCTTTATATATAATACATGCAAACATACACACAAAATACATGCAGTATTTTCAAAAAATTATCCTCATTTATGATCCAAAACTGGTTAACTCAACTTTTATGGTTCCTCCTAACATCTTTGCACATCGCAGCAAGAAATGTACTTGTTCTTTGCCTTTTGGACTCTTTTTCATGCATATTGTGCAGGGCAGCTTTTGATGGGGGGTGTTCTTCTGCATGGATACTCTCTGCATTTCAAAGTTGAAAAATGGTATAATCAATTTTTTGCAACTTTTTCACATTTTTCACAAATGAGAAAACCAGTTAATGTAAAATTTTCATTTTGAATCCCAAAAAAGAAACAATAAAGTCCAAGAACCAATTATGCCCAAATCTTGGGGCAACATTGTACTGCATAAAAATACTGTACACAGTATCTGGATATCAGAGAATATTTTTTGGGTATAACTGTGGAGCTTTTTATTTCCTAAATAGGAAATCAAAAAGAGCAGAATCATTTCATGGTGTATTTATCTATAAATTTTTGAGAGTCATTACTACTCATATGGCACATCCAGAATATAATCCAGGAGGTGCATCCTTTATTGCTTTTTTCTACACAAAACATGCTGACATGGCAGTGCGTACTGCACCAGTCAATACCATTTAACAAGCTGCTGCTTCACGTTTAAGATCTGCGCTTATCAAATTGATAAAAGGCTAACAGTCAATATTTTAGGTTCTCATTGTCCAACATTTCAAACTGTGGAAGAAAAGATAGAAATATCATCTTTCCCGATCAATAAAATCACTCATATTGCTGCATCTAGAATACAATTTCAAAACTGCGTTAGACATTTCTGAGGGCAAATGGTGGCTCATTCGTGGATAAAGAATGAATGTTTTTATTTCTTTTTTGCCTTATGCACCAGTGTCTTCCCGAATGAAAATTAATTAATCCCAACCCCCTCCTTGGAGAACTTCCTCCTTCCCCTCGACTAATCACGCTTAACAGTATTGTATCGGCACAACTGAAACACCCAAGCTGAAATCACTGGGTGTTTAATGACGCTTTTAGAAGTTCGCACCCTTCAGGCGTCGGTCGGAAACTTGCACATCAGCACCGTCAGTATGAGGCGGCTCTCGTCCTCACCAATAATCTCTGCAAAGTCGGTAAATTGATTCCGATCACCGACACGCTCTCTATATACGTGGATGTGGGCGATGTGTTGCCTGCTGGTGTATACAGCAAAGCACAGCACAGGCGAGAGCTTATCACGCCAAATCATAATGGATGACAGGGAGTAATTAGAACATCGCATGACGAAAGCGTGCTGTGCTTCACTTCTCGCGCGAATCGAACTTAATCCATCACCTGCATCATCGCAGACCCCGAGAGCCATTATGTCAACGCGGGGGTCGAAATGGTTTTCTCGGATGATTGGAGCCAGCGAAGCTCTCACGTGCGCCTTTACGCTGTAATTTAATCCGGCCAGAAGAGCCCTCAAGGGGTTCCACTACAAAGTTTCCACCTCGACTGTATTCTCTTCCCCCGGTCCTCAGTCGACAAGCGGGAAAGCTCGATTTTAGACCTGGGTCATGGGATACGTCCAGCTCATTATTTGCCATATACCCAGCAAATAATTAGGCATAACAAAACGCGTGGCAAATACGTAAGTACGGTTTTAAACGGTACGCAAAGACTGGTTGGCTCAATGCGGATGAGCCCTGAAAACAACTACGCAACGTCCATCCACAAAACAATGCGGGTGGACGTTGCGCATCGTCTACCCGTATTGTTTGTGACATGGCAAAACGCGTTGCATACGCATTGCATACGCGTAGCAGGACAAAATGCCTACCTGATACTTTTAGGATTCAAAATTTTTTTAAAACAAAAATTATCAAAAACAAAAAAGGAAATAGAGAATTTTTTAAGGTATAGAAGAAGTAATATATCATGTTCACAGACTAGCAAAAAATCCCTTTCAACTGCGTCAATCATGTTTTACACTTTTTTCGAATTTTTGTGACCTGTACGGAATCTTCCGTTGGAATGGTTCGTGAGATATTAGAATTTTGTCCTCATTCGCACTAGAATCGGATTAATAAATTAACCCGCAATCTCAGTTGGTAGTTTTGAGCTACGTTAATGAAAAATTTTCAAACGAAAGTAGAAAGTACGTGGGGTAAAATTAGTCGTCTAGAACCGTGAACGGCTGAACTACGGTTCGAACTAAGGACCACTAGTGGCCTTGGCTATGAAAATTGCTTCGAGGACGCTAAATTAGCGGTATTCTGGGCCCCCACTTGAAAAAGTAATCGGACTTAAAAGGCGTTACGAAGTTTTTTTGAAGGGTCTTTAAGCCTCCCAAAAGTCACTAATAAATAGGAATGAGTGAACTTGTTGTTTATCTTCTGTCGCCTGAAAAATCCTTTCATGAGAAGTAGGGAACTCAGTCTTCGATCACCAAAAAATTCTGGGAGTCTGATAAACATGTCCTTCTAAGAAAGGCGGCGCCCGAAAAAAATCAGAATAATCAATATAAATTTTTCGTTGCATTTTCTCTGGCATCAACTGTAAAACAATACAGTATCTGAATCCCAAGCTAGGGATTAGTCACTTTAAATTTATTTTTTCGAAGGATTTTCAGTATTTTTCATGAAAAATGCGCATGAATCATCATCATGAGTGCAATTTTTCCGTCATACCCGCATATTTTCAATAATTTTCATTGGTCTTCGTGTTTTCGCATTGGTTTTTATAGATGCAGTGTGTCACTCCCTGATTTCAGTTTTATCGGTTTAGAAAATGTGGAACTTTGGGACAAGATCGAGACTTCCAACTCTTTTTTTTTTTCTTCTAAAAAATGCTTTGTGAAGGGCACGAAGAAAAAGTTATGAATGGAGTTTTTTGTGAGGTCTACGTCATGAAGAAATTTATTATTTGTGGTGAGCTCTTGGTACATGATACTACACCTTTATTCACCTTGAAAATAAAAATATTCAAACTTAAATTTTGGGGCGTACCATTTCAGATTTCATAACCCCCGTGGAGTTCTGAACATATACATATGCTGGCATGATGATGATCTCAAGGCACGAAGCGATGCGCGAGATTCTTGAAATTTCTTTTTTCGCTGGAAAATGGGTCCATCGTGACTTTTACCCGTATAATAAAATCTCAGCCGAAAGAAGAAAGGGAAATTCTTTTCGGGAAGTGTGTGACGTGCCTGCGATACACTTGTCGTGTCGGCGATCGCGGTTTCACTTC